TATATATATATATATAACTTTTTGGTCGCAACAAACGGATATGAAACAACCCGGATTGGGTTCCATCCATTTGAAAACTGAATATCTATTACCAGGAAATATACATTATAAGTAATTATTAATGTATTTCCTATTTCAAATAAAAAAGACACAGACACATTTATTTACATACATCTTTCATATTGCCACGGCACTGCTCCCTCGTTATTAAAATAACGACAAAATTCATTTCGAATTTCTATGCATTGTCGGGCACTCATGTTCGATCCACAGTTTGAGATGTCTCTGAATGCGCATCCATCTTCCATGATGACACGCCAAGACCCTGGTCTGAAGCCATTTGGACAGTGCGGATCATCGACATCGATCAAACCCGGAGGCACATATGCGTTCTCATCAATGTCCTGCCGGCGAAGCCAATTATGCAAACAAACAGTTGCTTGAACCATTAACTTTGCGTTATCAGGACTGGCGATAATTGGTTTTCTGTATACTCTCTATTGACTGGCGAGTATACCAAATACGTTTTCTATTATTCGTCTCGCACGACTCAGACGGTAATTGTACATTTCTTGCTCTGGTGTCAGTCCTCTACCTGGATACGGACGAAGCAAGTATGGCTTCAAAGGAAAGGCTTCATCTCCCACAAGACAGTATGGTAAAATTGGTCCTCCTCCAAGCGCTGCTGGTTGTGAAATATTCATTCTACCTTCTTCGAACGCTTTCCCCATAGCACTTTCTTTGAAGACGCCACCATCACTTCGTCGTCCGTATGCCCCGATATCCACAAAACGTATTATATAATTTGCATCGCAGATAGCCATGAGAACTATGCTGTGACTGTGTTTATAATTATAAAACGCTGATCCAGCATTTTTGGGACACTAAAAGTAAGAATTGTTATTTCAAATTGTACTTCTTATTAAATTATATCGTATACCAACAATGATTTTACGTACTTGAATGGTGACGTGCTTGCCATCAATGGCTCCAATGCAATGAACGAAATTCCATCTTTCGTTAAAATCATTGGCGATATCCACCCAGTCTCCTTCTTCCAGTCGACCCGAAAGAATTAAAGGGCATAAAACATCCCATATTGCTTTGCAGGTTTCATGGATGATATTACCCGCTGTTGTCACTCCCACGAGATATTGGTAGGACATCGATATCATGGAGTCCCCGGAAGCAAGATATCTATAATATTTAATATATAATATACCATAATATTCACGCATTAAGAAAAAATGTATAACGTTGTTACGTTTATACACTACAAAAAACACTAAATTAAAAATTAAATTGGATCAAGCAAAACAAACCTCAATGTTAATGCCAACCGTTCAGCTGGTGAGATACTTTGTCGAATGACGTCCTGCTTTTGCAATCTTGGTCCAACCATGCCCAACAATTCTTCCAACTGAGTTGCGGTCATCCGAAAATAATTAATTGTGGAAACGTATGTCCTCCAATATTAACTTCGGGACCGACGCAAAGAAAAACTATGTACATCACGATTTTCAAAAATGGGTGCTACCTAAAACCTTTTCTTCGCGTATCTTCTTTTCTTTTTCATTAAATATATAGCTGCAGCTGTAGCGGCTGTGCGTCGTCTCCTTACAACCTCTGCTGCAACTGCAGCTGCCACTGTACGTCTATAATATTCAACGTACGCGATGTACTGTCTATAATAATTGGAGTACTCCATTTTTATTATACACAGTTCTTCTTCTTGTCGGTTAAGTAGCGTTAGCTCAGCGTTTAAATGCTACTTTGCATTGCGTGGAGTGGGGGTAATACGCCAGCTTTTCTTCGCTCCATGAAAATGATAGGGGCGATAGCGTTAGCTGTTCTACGCTGGCTTTACAGTGAGGTGGAGTGGGGATAGTGCTTGCAATCCCGCGCCGTTTTCAGTCTCGCGGGATTAATGCAAGATTGTTTTCAATCCCGCGGGATCCCGCGGGATCCCGCGAGATTTGGCAATGTCTTAAAAAAATAATTTTTTTTACATAAATAATTAACTTTATTCAGATAAATATAATTATTTAACATGTAAACATTATTGAGATCGGCATAAAACGTATCGGCATAAACAAACAAAATATTTAATCTGTAGATAATTAACTGAAAACAATATTAATTTTTCATACAAAACTAAACATAGTTAAAATAAAACAATTGTACTTTGTACTATAATAAAACAAAATATATTATTTATCCGACAGTTCCGATTTCCGATACATTAAATTAACTTGTAATTTTTTTATGATGTAGAATTTTGGAAATATGATTATAAAAAGCAAAGACTATTAATGGTTTCATCCCCCAAGCTGGTTCTCAGATCACTACATAAATATCCTGCAGCCGAAAATGCTCGCTCTGCTTCTACGCTTGTCGGTGGAATTGTTAATAGATATTCATATGCAATACGAAGATATTTGCCTTTAGTACCTTCATTTTCGAAAGCGCTCATTTCTTTCTTTAATATGTTTTCTATATTTTTAGAAAGACCCTTTGATTCGGTTACTTTGGAGTATTCATTCTGCAATTTCATCTCTCTCTTCCTCTAAAGACAGAATAGGAGGGGCAGGTTCCGCAGGTTCATCTTGGTCTTCGTCGGAATGATTAAAATATAAATCAGTATCGGACGTACTTAGAATATTTTCTCCGTGTTGATTATTTAAAACTCTTTGTAATAGGTTTTTTATTTCTTTGCGTATCGTTATTTTTTTAGGCATTAGAAATGTACTACCTTCCGGATTTTTTAAATCATTTTTAAATTTATTCGGATTTTGCAAATATAACAATATACCAGTTACGTCAGTACGGCGTTGCCCAATCCTACGACGAAGTGCCACGGCTAAGTTAGTGCTCAGAGGAGTGGACTGCTTATCTAGTTTTTCTAGTATAAAACGCAATGTTGTTTCCGCTGTAATAAGAGTTGCATCTCTTCTGCACAATACCTCGACTCCTAATTTTATGGGTTCCAGAGAGATCTTCAAGTCATTTATAATGGATCATTCTTTTTCTGTGAATCGGATTTCCGATTCTAAATCGATCAAAGCTTTACTTATACATAATCTAACATTATAAAAGCGTTCTAACATGTTTAGCAGGCTATTCCAGCGAGTCTTACAATCTAGAATTAATTCTAATTTTTTACCGTGTTGTTCTTGAACATATTTCTGCAAAATAACATCATTTTTTGTAGGTGATTTTCTAAAAAGCTTTACAACTTTTCGCACTTTTGTAATAAGATCTCTATAATTTGGAGCAACTTCTATGGATGGAGGAATATAATTTACTGTCAAACCACCTTCTTCGTCATCGTCATCGTCATCGTCAGATATCTCAGATTGAACGGTGTTACAGATTTCTTGAATTGCTTCTTGCTCCTCATCTTCACTTGCTGTAAAATTTTTGTACAAAACATCAATAATAGCAAGCTGTATGCCATGAGCATAACAAAGTTGTTGATAACATGGTATAAGCCTCCCAACTTTTATCATCACGCTCGCTCCATCGGTGGTTATAGCAACAATATCATCTTTAATGGTTAGATTAAAATTCTTAAGGCGCTCTTCAACCATGCTCACGCAATGCTCTGCTGAACAAGAACCTTGGATTCTGACCAATCCAAGATTACAATGCTTTTTGTTATAGTGTAGATTTATGTTTAAGTATCTCCGGTTCTTTCGAGATGTCCACTCATCGAATGTTAATGAGAACTTTTGGTTCTGCACTTGAAGTTTTGTGATTTCGTTTATCATATTGACTTTTACAGAATCTGAGAATGTAATAACTATAGACCTTATTGTGTTTGGAGATGATGGAAGTTTATGGCCACTTTTCATAAACAAACTTCTCAAATCTAAAGATTTGCAAAAGGAATTAAAAGAAAAACCTTTGGCAGTCATTCGTGATATTATTACTTCCAGAGAATTTTCTTTTAAAAAGTAATCACTTATTTTGACTTTTTTTTTGGTATGGCATTTTCGACATCATTGTTAGATGGGGTAGTCGACGAAGTAGAAGATGTAGATGCTTAACGAATTGTCTGTGACACATTTTGTTGACTCTCACGTGATAACGCTGCTTTTGACTTCACATCTATATAATGTTTGCTTTTCAGGTGCGTCACTAACCTACAGTGCATATTTTTGAAAATTGAGATAATTATACGGATATACATAATGTAAATAGCGTATACATAAATTGTGAATAAATAATTACCCTTTTCTTGATCGTTGACTTAATTTTAAAACTGCAGTACACAGTAGGCATTTAGCGTTTTCTGAATTTTTCCCTTTTTCAAAATATGTTCAAACTGTTACCGTCTTATCAGTGGCTACTGTCTCATCATTCTCATCAACGCACATTAAACTACTCCCTTCTTCATTAGACATTTTTCTTTCACAAGTAGTACTAATAAAATAAAATTAAACTCGCGTGCGTCTGATCTTTGTCATAAGAGACGAAGCAGTAGTGGGATATTTACGTTTAGGTTTAGACAAAACTGACAAAAGTCTGACGACGCGAGGAGAGTACGCGACGCTCGAACAACTGACAGACGACGGACGGAGTGGAGTGGAGAAAATCGTTCGCGAAAAGTTTCGCGACCAGTCGTCGCAGTCCCGCAAATCCCGCGGAATCCCGCAAGTATAATTTTATATTTGCGGGATTAAAAAATAGCGTGAGATCCCGCATTTTTGCGGGATCCCATTTTGCGAGATTGCAAGCACTAAGTGGGGATAAACGCTGGCTTTTCTTCGCTCGCATAAAATTTCAGCTTAACGCTCGCGCGTATCATAAAGTGAAGTGATCTAACCTCAATAATAAACAATTATATAGTTAATTAATTCGCTGAGATCATCACTTACCGTATTTCGCAGAGAATAGGATTTGGAGTAGAGGGGTGTGCATATTCAATGTGTAAAATACAATCATCAAAAATATTAACATTAACACAAAGAGGTCCAGACAACATGTATGAACTATAAATAATAATAAATCAAGACATTTATCGCTTATTGTGCAATCTACATTATTATATCTTTCTTCTCATCCCGAATCCTGAAAGAATCATGGTAAGAATTTGTAACAAGAATACGTGTCTCAGCGCATTCACGCAAACATAACCTAAATTCATACCTGTTATCATTTGTTTATTTATTTAACTCAATATGCCGGGAAAAAACGCTGAGCACGCATCAGAGACCTCTTCGTATATACACGAAAGACATCAACATAAAAGAGCAACATTCATTGCAAATAGTATAATAATAATTCATATCAGTCACTTGGCTTAACATATCCACCGCAGACAAAATTCAGAGCATCTTATTTCACAAAGAAGCCCATTTAACTATAAATATGCATTATTGATTATTTATATGTACACCATCATTGTACATTTCATATCGTGTTAACAAATCCAAAAACAATTGCAAGAACAAAGTAAGCCTGACAAAGCATTGTTTCAGTAATACAACATGCAAAATGGATCATATTCAACAAGATTTATTTGCAATAAACGCTGTTCAAGGAACAAGATACAAAATAGGTATACATTCAAGGAACCACAACCCTCACGTAAAACAAAACATAATAATAATATCTAGAAATTAATCAGTACGCTATACGCAACCGAAATATAACCTAGATGCTGCTCCACTAGGCAGTCACGCGACACTATGACGATGTAAAACCGACGACCTGACAGCAGTTAATGATTCATATCAGAATTTATTGCTAAGTCCAGGATCCAGTTAGGACCTGTCAGGGAATCAGTGCCCTGACGCATGACGGAGCTGTAGTAATTGGAGGTTATTTGCGCAGACTAAGCACGAGAGGAGGCGGTTCCAAGCGTAGACACTATCACGCTCGGCCGTCCCATCAACGTCGAGTATTCTATCTCGTAATGCACGATTGAGTATAAAATCTGGGTACCATGCTCGCATATAATCACGTCTTGACACGGAGATCTAATTTGAGTACAATTCAAGCACGCATAATAAATGAAAATCGCTCCAGACGGGGAGTACGCAGAAGGAGTCAGCCGGCACTTAAGTCTGGAGGACGGGCACACCAATGATGTAGCTCACGACACCGGGCCCCGCGTATATTATATATTAACGAAATCGACGCAAAGCTTCGTTCAAAATATAACTCGCGAGAATTAAGACAGCGATGGAACGCCATTATGGTAACGCGTTCAATGATTGTGCACACGGCCATTTATAACATTGTATTACTTAATGTAATACTTAAAGCTGCGTGATTCTATAATCAAACGTAGTAGAACGAAAGCTCTCGAGATCATGTTCCGCCATTATGACCGTACGTGAAGATAAACACGACGATTTCAAAAAATGGCCGACAAACGGCACATGTAAAACGGGAAGTTAACGGCACCACAATCAGTTACAGAGAACTCACCAAGGATATTAATCGTAATACAACGATTCCTTCTCAATCATTAAGTTCAGTAATAATCATAAGGTGCCAGGATTGTTATAATCTCTTATCAAGATACCGGCAAGGCGGCCATTACGTCTCTCTCGATTGTCATACGGGTGTGGCACGTGTAATAATTCATGAGATTTTAATGTAATCTCAGTTATTTCCAGATAATACATGTATGGCCAGATACACAATCCCACAAATAATCCCCCTAGTACAATGTGAGAATTGCAATTTTCTTTAGAATGTGATGGTAAAAGTATATAATTTTATGATATGATTCAAATTAGGAACACAGCGCGAATCACCACGTATCGAACACCAAGTGAGAATCCGAAAAATAAGAACACTATCAGTACGTATAATACGGAGCACATGGAGGCACGTCCGTCCTCCATCGTGCCCATCG